CGGAGGAGACCATCCACCTGCCTCCCGCTCCGGACATGGTTGGAGAAGGTCGAGGTGGGAAATGCGGACTTGGGCGCTGGAGCTCAAGTGTGCAAAAATGGATGAGCAAAGGAGGAAGAAGGCGTGGATGAAAAGGTGAATCCTTATCCCTTTATATGGGCGAACGAAACTAGGAGTCCCCATTAGCCTGGTAAAACTCACTTATCCCCCAAGCGCCGTAATCGATGGCGCAGTTGGGTTACCCATGCCCGTATTGATGAGAATCTCGTGATAAGGGGACACGATCTCTGCTTTGACAGGACATGTCAAAAAACTGCCTCGCGTTATGTGCGGGGCTAGTTAAAGGAAACGGTTCGAATAATCACCGGGCCATGACATAATGTCGTGTTGCCAAAACGTGTCAGCAGATTAAATTTGTGGAAATATTATTCTCTCTACGGTGATATGTGGAGCTTATTTTGCAGGGTCGGACACTATCCTTGTATTCAAATTCTTCCGTGATGTATTCGGAGGAGGAACCCGCCTTGCAATGCCGAAGACAATACTACGCGCCGGACTCATCGTCATTGAAGCCTGGTTCAGGGGCTACTGAGGGAGTCCTGGATTGGGGGGTCTCCGGACAGCCGGATTATATCCTTTGGTCGGATTGCTGGACTATGAAGATACAAGATTGAAGACTCCGCCTTGTGTCCGGATGGGACTCTACTTGGCGTGGAAGGCAAGCTAGGCAATACGGATATGCATATCTCCTCCTTTGTAACCGACCTTGTGTAACCCTAGCCCTCTCCGGTGTCTATATAAACCAGAGGGTTTTAGTCCGTAGGACAACATACAATCATACCATAGGCTAGCTTCTAGGGTTTAACCTCTCTGATCTCGTGGTAGATCTACTCTTGTACTACCCATATCATCAATATTAATCAAGCAGGACGTAGGGTTTTACCTCCATCAAGAGGGCCCGAACCTGGGTAAAACTTCATGTCCCCTGCCTCCTGTTACCATCGCCTAGACGCACAGTTCGGGACCCCCTACCCGAGATCCGCCGGTTTTGACACCGACATCTATGGTCAGGAAACTTAACCATCTTTGATTAACGAGCTAGTCAAGTAGAGGCATACTAGGGACACTCTGTTTGTCTATGTATTCACACATGTACTAAGTTTCTGGTTAATACAATTCTAGCATTAATAATAAACATTTATCATGATATAAGGAAATATAAATAACAACTTTATTATTGCCTCTAGGGAACATTTCCTCCAGTAGGGCGTGCCCTCCACCCTTGTGGCTGGCTAGTGGCCCCATCTAGTACTTTCTTCGTCCAATATTTTTTATTTATGCCAAAAACGTGCTCCGTGAAGTTTCAGGACTTTTGGAGTTGTGCAGAATAGGTCTCTAATATTTGCTCCTTTTCCAGCCTAGAATTCCAGCTGCCGGCATTCTCCCTCTACATGTAAACCTTGTAAAATAAGAGAAATAGGCATAATTATTGTGATATAATGTGTAATAACAGCCCATAATGCATTAAATATCAATATAAAAAGCATGATGCAAAATGGACGTATCATGAGACAAACAACGGCTTGACGATTGTAGCTACCGCATTGATGACTACGTCTGGCACCCTGGACCGGTGCTCCTTAGAGTTGTCCTCAAGCTCCAAATTCGTCGACGACATCACCCCCTCTAAGTTTAGGGAATGACTCACTAGACCCAAAGCCTTCCAGAGAGGCAACACCATGTCGTCAAAGGAGAAGACTGTTGCATGTTTCTCCTTTGGGAAATTGGAAAACTTATTTTTGAAATGCCCCACCACAGCGCAACGTTGTTTTGGAGATTTTTCATATTTTTACGGAGTATCTCAGACCAGTGGTCACTTCCAACAGATTTGCGGTTGACGTGCGGATTGAGTGGTCAATACACATGCATGTCAAGGTGCTTTGTGAAATACAGACACAAGGTGATTTGCAATGATAATCTTGTTCTTCTGGGAGACAGCGACAATGGTGCCGAACTACCATCCCGAAGTCCTGCGCCATGTCTTCGAACATGAGATTGCATGGGATCCATTAGATTTGCCCCAAAATGCAAATGGAGTAGATGCGCACGTGATGTCTTCTGAGTGCACGGGGTTGAGTTGTAGCCTTTTTGAAGTAAGAGTATTGATCCCACAGAGAGTTACAAAATGGTCATTGCCGCTTATAGAGGTTTATTAGAATGTGCCTACATGTTAATTGTGATTCGAAGCAAAAGCGATACGGAATTGGAAATATTGCAAGTGTGTCTCACATAATTGAAGTGCGCAAGAATGGAAGTAGCTAACAAGAGAGTAATGAAGGCATTCTCAGAGAGTGGGATCGCCGCTAAAAATGTATGTTACTTAATAATGCAATTGCACTACTATGGATTTAAATAACTAATCCACTTTTATATGTTTTTATGTGTGGGCAGAGCGAGTATAGCTAAGCGCATACTACTGTGGTTCTGTATCATACACACCATCACTATTCCTCTCCTAACAGATAGATGCAACAATGATTAAGTGTCTCCTCATCGACATGACTAAGGCGATCTTCGTTACTTTCCTGTCCATGTTGTGCAAGGGAGGGAGGTAGCTTTTGTTGTTTGAAGAATCCCTAGAGGTAATAATAAAGTTCTTAGTATTCTATTTCCATGTTCATAATTAAGTTTATATTTCTATTTTAGAATTACATTGGTTCTTGAACATGAGATTAGGAGGAAAATCTAATTGCATGTGCTCAAAGATAAACACCAAAAAGATCCCTAGTCAGGCCTTTGGACTAGCTCATGTATCGTTGATGGTTCAGTTTTCCTAACCATGGACATAGTTGATGTAAAAACGATGATTACAATAATGAGGACACGTTGTTAGAGTAACAATGGTGTTGGATAGACCTAACTTACGAAATACTCCCTCTCTCTCAGTTTATAGGGCGTGTGCATATCCCTAGGTCGTCAATTTGACCAACCTAATACAAGTCATACATTACAAAATATATATCAATATAAACTTCAGATGTTCTATTTTTAAACGGTATATTTTTGTGTTATATAGTTTATATTAGCTAGGGTGATAAAATTAGCAACCTAGGTATACACGCAGGACTTGTAAACTGAAATGGAGGGAGTACAATGAGGCCACGTCGTTGATATGTTATCGGCATTCTCATATAAATTGTTAATGTTTACTTGTGTCTAGTCCTGGCCATGAGCAGACCGGCCTGGTCGGCCCGACCCAACCCGGCCCGAAAAAGCCCAACCCGGCCCGAAAAAGCCCGACCCGGCCTGGCCCGACCCGACCTTGTCCATGGGTCAGGCTTGGGCCTAGGTTTTGAGCCCGAAGCATGGGCTGGGTCGGGCCCAGGCCCATCATTTTTGCTGTTTAAGGAAGAGGCCCGGCCCGAGGCCCGGTGGGCTTTTAACATGATGGGCCGGCTCGGGCCCGATTTTTAGGCCCGACAGCCAGGCTGGGTCGGGCTTGGGTCTGGGTTTTTTGTGTCGGGCTTCGGTTGGCCCGGCCCGAAGCCCGGCCCGGCCCGAGGGATGGCCAGGACTACTTGTGTCCTTAGCCCATGAGAATATAGATACCGGATGATTGCTTTGGGGTTTTGCTCTGTAACTGGGTAATTATAAAGGTAACTTTCGGGTATACCAGAAAAGTATTTCATGATTCTCGGTAGTTCAAGACTGCGATTTGCCCCTCCGGTGATGGAGAGATACACTCTGGGCCCACTTAGCATTACTGTGTCCATCATCATCTGGCCAAACACTGTGGCTAATGATACTAAAATATAGAGAAAAGAGTACAAACTAATAACAAGGATAACCATGTATAGTGATCAAGGTATTAATCATGGGGATATCCTAAAAGTCTCGCCTCAAGTTTTGTAACTTATCGCGAGATAAAGAGAATCGTATATGATAACATATGGTTCGATCGATAACAATCTATGTGGGAACCATTATGAGTGTCCATATTTGGCCAATAATTATTAACTGGAAGGTGTCTTAGACATGTTCATATTATTGAATATATAGGATCACACGCTTAATGATTAGCAGTACATAGAAGTACCATTGAGGCCTCCTTTGGTTTGGAGGATAGGATTCTTATAGGATTTTTTCCTTCAAAGCCCTTTGATTCATATGAATGGATTCCTATTTCTACATAGGACTGGTTCCTATCCTTCACATTTCATAGAAAAATAAAAATGAGCCTAGACTCAATGAAAAAATACTTTTGGTGTCAATCAAATGACATCTCGTTTCTTATTCCTACTTATAAGATTTGAGATACATGTCATCTCATTTTTTATAAAATTTCTATTCCTACGATAATCCTATTCTATGAACCAAAAAAGGCCTAAGATAAAAGAGAATGAGAGAGAAGGGTTTCAAAAGCGTTTCATATAATTTTGGAAGTGTTTGGAAGTGTTTCGAGGTACCAAGTATCCCGTGTCAAATGTTTTGAAAGGTTCCAAAATGATAGATGATGAGTCTGTCCGTAGTCCAAAAGCTTCTAGGATATTTTGAAAGGTTCATAGTGGGCATACCCCGTTGTCATGGGCCCACAGGCCCAAATCGGCAACCACCTTAATTATTCTCAAACGATAAGTGTCACACGTGTGGCATGTAGTAACATCACTCTGACATTTAAAAAAAATGAAACTTGTCATGATTTACAACTAAATTTTTTATCTCTAGGTAATTAAAAATTGCCATAAAAAATGTTAGGGCGGGATTACTTTGTGCCACACGTGTGACACTTATCAGAGTTTTAATTATTTGGGGATAAGACAGGTGGAAAGGGAGGTACTGTCCGGAATATGTCTCAAAAAGAAGAAAAAAGGGACTGTCCGGGAGAGGAGGGATTCCTCCAACAGAGGAGACCGGCGAGAAGGGAAGAAGCGAAATCCCCTTCCGCCGATTACATATTATATAGGGTTTGGATTCGGCGATGATCTCGATTGCCGGCGGAGATGCGGCACGGGAGGACCCCCGTTCAATTTGATCCAGAGTTCGGCTCCGCCGCTGGTGACACTGATGAAGGCCCGTCTCTCACACCGTCAGACGCCACCGGATTCATCACACGAGCTTGCGGACCAGGAGGATTACAGAGTCAGCGAGGAGGATTTCTGCAAGCACCTCGCTGTTTTGTCCAGCAGGCCTCGTCCCACAACCATCGTCGGGCCCAGGATTGACAGTGAACAGCAGCGCGAGGTCTACGAGCGCCTTGCGCTCTACCGCATCAGAGCATCCAAGGTTATTATTTCCTCGCATTCCCCCTATCATCTTGATATCCCATCTTTGTGTGCACATCCGGTCTGTTTTCTGCTAATTTATCTGCAATGCCCCTGCAAGTTTCTGATGAACTTTTATCTCTCACGGCTTGTGTTTCTGTTGCACATGCAGATGGCACAGGGAGTGTCCATGAATGAGCTGGATGACATGACTCTGAGAAAGGAATACCCCCCGGAAGCTCTCGAGGAGACGTGTTACTTCAGTGACTACGACCATGGTGTTAGCGTCCAACTCGATCTAGCCGACACTCTACTTACGTTCTGGACGTTTATGCGCACATGGGCCAACATTCAGGGGAGAGCCCACTCCATCCCAAAAGCCCGGACTGAAAGGAGAAGGGATACTCTCCCTTATAAGTTGGTCATGGCCTTCTCCCATAAGCGAGGTGGGACTAAACCAAGCCAGCCTCCATTGATGGACAGCAGTCCTAACATCCCATCCCTCTGAGAAGCCCCTCAGAAAGGCATGACGATGCTGGCTCTGATACCAGATGTTAGCGTCCAACTCGATCTAGCCCATACTCTACTTACGTTCTGGACGTTTATGCGCACATGGGCCAACATTCAGTGGAGAGCCCACTCCATCCCAAAAGCCCGGACTGAAAGGAGGAGGGATACTCCCTTATAAGTTGGTCATGGCCTCCTCCCGTAAGCGAGGTGAGACTAAACCAAGCCAGCCTCCACTGATGGACAGCAGCCCTAACACATGGTGACACCATTGATTGGTACTTCAACCCTGACCACTCGGTCCACTCCTACTTGAGTGACTACCACCGCCTTGTCCTTAAAAATGGAGATGTAAGTGGCATCCGCTCATACTCATACCGATGACTAGTTCAGCTTCAGCTTCAGCATTTAGTTTATATAGTACGCGTGAATCAATTGCGCATTTCAACTAATCTGGTACTTCTGTTTGGACCAAATAAGATGCCGTGTTCCTTCTAGTTGCAAATACTTGTCAGGGCTTTCAGTTTTGAAGCAATATTGATAATTGATAGCACCTTTGTATGTATTTGGATTGATCATGCAAAAGTGCCATTGTGGTATTCTTCACACAGTAATTTCTCTATATTAAAGTTTTGTGGTTCTGAAAGTGCAAACAAATATTGAAATTGCATCCTGGAGACCGTGGGAAGTATGAAATATCGACACACGGTTACACATTCACTATTTCCCCTGATGTCCAAGCTATGTTTTTGAAGCTTTTGGTTTTCTTCAGAACTGTCCCTTGTTTTAACACTTCAGTGATGATGAACATTGTACGGAAGTTTAATTAGCACAGTGATCTGTTTAATAGCATCGAAACCATTCGTTAAGTAATGTATGTCATCTATTTCTTCTCTCCCTCGGGAGTGCAGGGCACGCGGTACCTTGACTGGGAGAAGTACTGCTCATGGTTTACTACCTACGAAACAGATGAAGAGTATCTCAAGTACTTTGAAGAAATATCAAAGAAAATTAAGGTATGCATCATCAGATGTACTATGAAGGTTTGATCTAAGCTAATTTCTTCATCTTTCTGGGATACCAATAACCTTTATCTTTTGAGACAGTGGATTAAATGTTACATGAAATTTGAACGAGGATCTCCTGAGGTAAACATACCCTAAAGAAAACCATGTGGAGTAAAAGGTACAAATGAAGTATAATACCATGATAACCCCTTTGCTCTTTAGTGGATAGAGATGGAAGCTAGAGGATTTTGGCAAGCAGTGGAGATCGCGGTAGACTTTCCACACATGAGCTTTGATTTAGCTTTGACTGCATACACGGTACAATATATTCTCTTCTTTTTCAGTAATTCCTGAGATCAGCAACAGTTCTTGTTTTATTTGACATCGACACTCTTGTTATTCAGGATCATATTTTTAACACGAGATTTGATTATTTTGACCATGAAGAAATTGATCCTCTTCTTTTTGAGATTTGGAAACGTCTCACTAAGCAAAAGGTTAGCATCGTACCTTGGCATGTATGCTATGGAGCTGTCATTTGTGGTGTACTCATCCAATGAAACCTTGGTGTTTACAAACAAGACCATAGTATCTGTTTGTGTTCATGCCTGTTGTATATGCTTGTTGATGTATGTTCCTTTCTTGAACATTGCTCAGATTACATTCAGACAGACTCTAGACCAAGTCCAGCAAGAGAACATGTTCCCTCGACAGGAGAAGTGTATACAATTTGTACTGGATAATACTAGTATCTATACTCGTTTGCAATCAACTGTAAGTTCTTATTCTAGGCCGAGGTTCTGCAATTTATGCCCTAATCCTCTTGAGTTCTGATTATTGACGTGCATTATCCTTGCTAATCCTTTCAAAAAAATTCCAGTTTGATACTTGCGTGGAAGACATCTCTGATGAGGTATGTATGATATATAAAAATTATATGCAATTTACAGTGAATCACATCGTTGATTGTGCTTTTTTTTAATGATGGCTTACCTCTCGATTCCATTATAGTCAACAATAGAATTAGTTCTAGACAGGTTCAACAGTTGCCACTATCACTAGCAGTTCAAAAGAAAGAAAATTAAAAATCTTAAAGCGAAAACTAGTTACTGACTAGTGTATATAACACACACAAGTCACAACCCAGCAGAAAGTATTAGCAGCTAACAGTTCTAAACTGCAAAACAGAGTCAAAACACATCAGACGTTACATAGCCCATTACATCGGCAAGTTGCTGTGAATTATCCATACAATCATCAGGGCAGGTTTTGGACGCAGGTGTCCCATCTGCTTCTCTAGGCACACCATTGGTGGAGCGCCTCTTGATGTTTTTTTGTGTGTGTGAATAGCCTCTTGATGTTTCAACAGCTTATCCTCTTGGAAACTTAGTCATTGCCTGTTTGGAGCTTTGCCCACTTGTGAAGGATAACAGGACAAACAAATAAATTCAGCTGACAAATGTATTAGTCTGTGCTCGAAGCAATCCCTGTTTCTAGTCTTCCAGATTGCCCAGCGTAAAGTTGCCAATCCCGACACCTGTTTGGAGACACAGCGAACAAATTTTACTATTTACTATTTGGCAATGGTGTGGCTGCATAAAATTGCAGAGAAATCCAATAGTAGGGACTAACTATTTAGATATAGAAGATATCGCGTCATTGTTTTCTTATAATTTTTGTGCTGTATTCGGGTGAGTTTAAACCGTCTCTCTGCTGCGATACGCGCAATATGGGATGAAGATAGTGTGTCATTGTTTTCTTTTAATTTGTGTATACCTTCTTAAATCTCATATCGATGACACAAACATTTGGTTGCTGTAGACTCCAGAGGATGAAGGCCGCAGGTTAATTACAATGGCGGTTTCGAGCAAGGTATGCATGCTTGTTCTGGATTTCTGGTACAGTCTGCAAGTTCCTTTTTTATTCTTGAAGTTGCAACTAAACTTCATTTTAAATTTCAGCTTCACAAAGAGAAGACATGGAATGAGTATATTATGAGGAAGATAGAGATTGCTAAACACATTGGGTTGGATCTCCAAGTATGTATCCATCTTGCATATCCTCGAAATTTCCTGTGACTGTACATGTTTATTCGTCTTAAAGAAAACCGATGCCTCGTTCACCTTGCAGGCTACATGTATCCGAATTTTAAGACCCAGAAGGATGTGGACTCTTGTTGTAGAACAAAATATTGTTCGGTGCCCAGATGCACCTGGGCATGGACAGTAAATTCGAACTTTGAAAAGGAACACTGTTTGGACCCAATTTTGTATTTTTGCCTAGAGGTCCTCAAATTTTCCAAATACCGCGAAACTTTGCATGCTCCTTGTGCAGTTGAGCATTTTTTATGCCAAAAGAGTTTAGAATTTTGTACTTTTTTTTGGATTTACTATTCATCAGGTGCAGATGAGCTTTGGCTTGGATGTGAATTACGGCTTGGCTTGCAACTCATATCTTGGTAAAGACAAATACTGTTGAATGAAATGTTATGATGTTCTACTTTTTGTTGATGTCCTTCATTTTAGGCTGTTCGGCACCCAGGTCGGACCTACTCCAAATTGACTAAATCCATCAAATCGACTGCACTCCTCTTGTGTTCCCCTCCCTTTCTCCGCCGTCCGATTTTGCTGTCCTAGATACTGACACGAAGTACCCTGGCCCCCACTGCCGCCATGGATGATGCCTTGACGGAGTCCATATTGCTCTCGGCTGTCGTCTCTTGCAAAGTGGAGAACGTCGCCTGAAGGGATCGATACAGACAGCAGTGTGTGTTGGGAAGCTGTGGAGAAGGCAACTTTGGTGAAGGTCGCTGACATGGACTTGGGCGCGTTAGGTCTGGCAACTGCCTTTGTGTCTTCCACCGTGACCGTGAGAAGGAAGAAGCTGTCGACCGAGCCCGACTTTGTTCCGACCTCCCAATGGGCGGGCATTCTGGATCGCTGGACAAAAGAGGACGGTGTCATGGGTATGGTGTACGACTTGCCGCAACTCCAACGGAGCGGGCAACGTTAGGAAAGGCCGGCGTCGGGCATGCTGTGTTGTTTGATGATATGGCCGACCAAGATATGGTACATTAATTCTTGCCCTATATGCCATTGGATCAACTAGAGATGGTAGTTTCATTACGATGTATATTGTAGGACACACTCATGATTAACATGATACACGATGGTCAAGAACCTAGGCATTTTGACATGGGTGATATCAATTTCCCTATGTTTGATGTTGGACAAACATCGCACGCTAAAAAAGCGAAGATACCAAAGGCAAGAGGTCCGACATTCACAAGTTATGAATGTATTGTTGTGTGAATCTTTGTTGGCCACAATCATGTATCCCATTTGTCAAAACTGAGCAAAAGGGCGTCAAGTATTGGCAAAAAAGATCTATAAACACTACCATGAGCACAAGAACTATGTGGAGCCACACGCTATCCATACCACCCGCAAAGAGACCTTTCTCAAACATAGATCGTCTTTCACCCAAGAGAGCGTCTACAAGTTCTGCGGTTACTATACACAAATAGTGCCGGAACCAGATCGTCATTGCAGTGAGTAGCCATGTAAGTTTGACTTATTTCACATTGTCATCATTTGTATTTCATTGCGGTTTTGCATTGTTTTGAGTGATTCTTGTTTTGCTAGTTGGGTTTGGGGGACACTTTGTACAACCAAACCGAGGGCAAGTCATCCACTTTGTCGCATTATTGGTTGAAACTGAACGGGAAAGCAAAGTGAACCATCGTTGAAGAGCTCGAAATGGCATCAAGAAGTTCAAGAAAACGGTGGATCAACTTCCCAACAATCTATTGGATTGGATGACAAAGAGGAGCAAAGTGGAGGGGCCGGTGTACATGCAACTGTGCCAAAAAAAGGTACTCCCTCCGTTCCGAATTACTGTCTTGGATTTGTCTAGATACGGATGTATCTAGAATCATTTTAGTGCTAGATACCTCCGTATCTAGACAAATCCAAGACAAGTAATTCAGAACGGAGGGAGTAGGTGAGTGGAAACAATTGAGAGAAGAAAAGGGCCGCACGTGACAACACGACAAGCAAAATGTCTGTCACATGGAAGAGAATTTTTTTTCCGCATGGAATGATGGTGTTGAGCCTATCGATCTTCCCCCATGAGATGCTTGACTTGTTGTACTATGACTATTAATTTCATGAGGCATTTATTTGGTTGATGAGTTCTTTATGATTATTAATCCAAATTTTTGAGTTTTGGGCTTCCGCCTCGATAACCTCCTATTGCTAGCCTCTTCGGTGGCAAGCATTGTCCACTCTCGCATTTAGACATGATTTTACTGACGCATGGTACTCATGTATCAAGATAATATGAAGCTCCTTTGGGACCCACGTCGCCACCTAAGAGCATGCTTAATAATATAGTTGATTGTTGGCTATATCTTGTTGACATGTGATTTATGGACAATTTTATAGTCAACATGTATAGTAGTTGATTGTAAATAGATATCACTTTTTCGCAAAAAAAGATACCACTTTATTAATATCTAACCCATCTCACTCTTTCATAAAGTTTTTTGGATTCCATGCTATAGTCGACTTTTAATCTACAAGTTGCTTCTTTTTTCTCTCCTCCAGCTCAGTATAAATATCATATTTAAATGCTTACATGTTGCTTGCATCACTTTATTATATTTGCTTTAAGGGTTTAAGAGCAGTAAGAGCATCTACAACTGGACCCCCTCCCCATTCTTTTCCTATACATCCAGGCCAAGAACTCGATTAGGGCTCGGACATTTCCTCACTACATGTCCGGGTTGTCCTGGTCCTCTCAAATCCAACCCATATATAAGCCAAATATGGGGAGGCTCGACATTTTTTTTCAAAAAGGTGGGGAGGCTCGACATGTCCGCAATGTCAGCCCAAATTTCATCCAACCCACCTAGCGTCACCTGCAACCTTACATAACTAGTATAACGCCCGTGCGTTGCCACGGGCTCTTCAAAATTTATAATCAGTATCTTTCATTTATCATCCCCTCATATTGGGTGATTATGGGGTGCTCTAATTAGAAACACAACAATCAAATATTAGGAAATTTCACCGAACGAACAACAACGAATAATACGATATCTATCAAACGAATAAAATGAGGTCATATTTTTGGTCCGTCATGCACTTCTGTTGAAAAGTGCCTATCCCTTTTAGAATCAACCCACTGTTTGCTCGCACGCAAAAAAAATACATCTCTAAAGTGGGGAATCGATCGGTGCCAAAAAGAACTCAAACATCTATCCAATCTCGACTTCGTGCTCTTCCACTTCCATTGATAAAGATGGGACGTCAAGGGTTTCATCATGATGACCTCGAGCAGCCGCCGACATCCCTCCCCACATCTACCCCTACCCCCTGCTGCCGCTTGCACTGTCCTTGCTCCTCGAGGGAGCTAGGGACACAATGTTCTCTAGGATGGGCATGACCAGATCCACGAGGAGGCCACATTCTTCCATGGGAACCCAACCAAGCACACCACCCTCCGCAACCATCCAATCCCAGTCTAACAAAGTCAAGACCCGCCATCGATCCACAAATCAGGCTCGCCGCATCCAGGTTCACTGCAAGTCTGCGACGAGTCTGTAGTCGGCATCTTGATTTTGGCTATCCCCACGGAAGAATCATCGGATCCTGCTTACTTTTACCATCACTTCGTCTCTTCCCAAGGCAGCGACACCACCCAGCCAATCACCACCACCGCTTGCGGCTTGCCTACATAAAATCATGAGAAATCTCCACGGCGGTGCTGTAAGATCACCTTGGCGACCTCGACAGTGACCGACTGGTCTAAGATCTAAGCTAGCCGCTCTTTGTAGAAACCAATAGAAGTAGGCATGTGACTCAGATTTGTTCTTTGGTGTGCATGCGTTTCTTGCTGTCCACCAGCTCTTGTCTACAACTCGCCTATCTCTGTACCAGCTCTTGGTCTACAACTCGCCTATCTCCATGCTCGAGACGACCAAGCTCGATGCGCAAGCCGCATACGTCTGCTAGAGCTATATCCAGGCCCTATGATTTTTGGATCACTGGCACTATGGGTGCCAGGACCGGAGTCGCCCTCATCCACCAAGTGGATCAAGGAGGTCCACCACCTAGACTCTACATCGCAACATTTTGTGTTTTCCTATAAAAAGTAAAGAACTTTCTCTAATAAACGTAAATATAACCTTTTGGTTTTATAGTCTCAACTTTCCTACACTCCAATACCAGAAGGATTTCTTGGTTTTATTTAATGACCTTCTTGAATGTCATTCACTTAGAAAGGTAGTAATACAATCTGTGATATTAAGGCAAACTATTGGTCATATTAAAGTGCAAAAGGCCCTATAGGAGTCAAAGCATGACTTTTATGGTTATACTGTAATTTGCAAGATCTGAGATTTATGCAAGTGTACAATTAGAGAAGAGCCAATTAAATAGATTTTCACATTCAGAATAGTACAATTAGCAGTAGCACTTCAATTTTTTCATGTTTGATCAGCTTGCTAGGTGGTTAGCACTAAGCATGTTGGAACGATGAGCATAACCTAACTTAGTTCAGTACGTGTTGCTGCAAATTAGTTCAGTACGTATGAAGCTGTTGCTAACTTCAATGCCTGGCTGTTGCAAGTTTCTAATGAAAAAGTACTTCAGGTCAAAGGTCAGGGAATATACACTTTTGTTATCATGGTTGTTTCCTTATAGTGAACAACTTTGATCACCACTTCAGCAGCTACTATCTATAAGAAGACATTAGCTAAGTAGATACAGGCAAAGAAAGCATGTAGGCAAAACCAGAATTAAAAACATCCTTCTCAATGGAGCTCATGCAGTTCGGAAGACCCTAATCATCGATGAGGGACCCCTCCGATGGTAGCATGGCGTGACAATTGCCGTCAATGACGACACCCAAAGTACCTTGCACAATCCATCGATCCAGTTCGGAACAATCAAGCACATACCTTGCAAAGTGATGTGGATCTGAAGCAGAGGTGGGAAGGTAAAGGCTCAGGTGAGGTGGAATGAGACGTTGATATAGACGTGCACGCATGAGAATAAGGCGGTGCCCAGGATGGATCTCCATCGGAGGAGGCCGGATCCACTGGGGAGGAGGTCGCTGTAGTACCTGCCATCTGTGCGATGGATCACGGGGCTGGCAGGCAGGGGAAGGGGATAGGAGGGAGCGGGTGGGCTAGAGCGCAGATGGCGGGTGCCCCCGACGACGGCTGGGAAGGATGGTGGAGGAGGTGGATGAGGATGGCGGCGGCGGCGTCTGCGGTTGCGCCTCGTCCGCAGCCGTGCTGGTGGTGGTCGATGCGAGAGCCGGATGGCGTCGGCCAGAATCAGGCAGGGGCGACAAAGATTTAGAGGAGAGAGAGAATGGAGGCGATGATCGATGGGAGGAAGGGCCACCGGCGATTGGGGTGGCCTCAGATCCGCCCTCCGTGGCCGCCTATTTCATGGGACGAACACCCGTGCTCACCGCCGGGCTTGCCTTCAGCCGCTGCCTCGCCGACATTCACGACGTAGAGCCCCTTCCTCCGATCCCATTTGCCATGGAGGCAGCGCCATCCTTCATCGCAGAGAACGATTCCACACTGAGATCCCAACCAGATCGTGATTGCGCCTCCCCAAACCGCAGCGGCACATCCCACTCCATCAACGACCAACCTATATGAGGCGGAGGGTCAGTGTAGGACGCGAGCGCCGTCACCATGGACGTGGGGGACGCCGTAGGTGGGAAGGAGGCGGCGACGGCGTCTGTGTCAGGAAGATCGCACGACGGCGGCGACGTTTCCTCGAGGGGATCGAGAGGAGCTGCGTTTGGTGCCGGGTGGGTTCTTTGGTGCGCGCGTGGGGCTGG